AAGGATTCACCCCGGAAGCAAACCCTTCGCCGCCTACACTCCCACGCCTGTGCCCTCAGACCTCTGGCCCCTCCGGCGTCCCCCACTCACCTGGCCGTAGCCCTCCACCTGGCCGCAGCCGTCCGCACCTACAAGACACCGGCAGCAGCTCCCACCGCCAAGTCCAGCTCAGCTCTAAGTCGATTGGTCAGCGTCTCTGTGCGTCACTCCCGGCGCCGTCCACGGGCCAATCAAAAAGCGCCTCCTCCGGCAGGCAAGCGGAAGCAAGACATTCAGAGAAGCCGCGCCGCCATCTTGGAAAAGGGCAAGATACTTGTGCCTCACTCTACAAAACCGCAGTGCCTCAGAACATTTCTCCACGTTCACCGCTAAACGTTTCCGCTTTAGAAAACCTCGGCGCCAGCCGGACTGTTTTCTAGGCGCAGCCAGCACGCCTCAGGTGCACGCTTTGATCCAACATGACGTCCGCCCGCTTCAGTGGGAAGGTCCTCTCATCACCTTAGTTACAGGGAAGCGAGAACGGTGACGTATGGCCCCGGAAGAAGGGGTGGCCCTGCGCAGAGGAAACTGAAGCCGGCCGGAAAGAGGCGTCAGCGCGCGGGAAAGGGTGGGGCGGGGCGGAAGGAGTGTGGGGATGCCTGCGCGCGCACTCACGTGTGGAGGCAGCTCTCTGGGTCTAGTTAAGATTCATCGTGCCTTTTGCCTCGTTGCTGCAGAGGGAGCAAGATGGGTCACCGGCCACTCTACTGGAGCCATCCGGGGAAATTCGGCCAGGGTTCTCGTTCTTTTTTTTCCCCCCCAAAACATATTTTATTGATTTTTTACAGAGAGGAAGAGAGAGGACTAGAGAGTTAGAAACATTCATCAGCTGCTTCCTGTACACCTCCTACTGGGGATGTGCCCGAAACCAAGGTACATGCCCTTGACCGGAATCGAACCCGCGACCCTTGAGTCCGCAGGCTGACGCTCTATCCACTGAGCCAAACCGGTTAGGGCAGGGTTCTTGTTCCTGACGCATCTGCTCAAATCGGCGCGGTTTGATCCGGAAATATGGCCTCAACCTGTGCCGCCAGTGTTAATGTCAGTACACGAGGGATGTAGGTTTCATTAGGTGGACTCAGTGAACTTGCATGAATGGGTCATTCAAGACATCTACCTGAAGACAGAATGCTATTTCTTTGTACGTAAAAAGACAAAACAAACAAAACCCTTCAAATATTAAAAAGAAAAGATTCATCGTAAATTCCACAGGTTTGGTTCTGCTTTGTCACGTTACAAGGTTTCCTCCTCGCTCGCCCTGATGGCTGCGATCTCTGCGGAGGCTGCGCTAGAAGCACAGCTCCTCTCGGCTTTTCTATCCCTGTTGTTCTAGAGGCGATGAATAGTTGGGAATTGTCATAGTCAAGCACTTTAGAGGACGAAGTAAACCTCGTAACTACGCAGAGCGCAACTTCCACAGGCACCAAAACGCTTTTACACCTTTTTATAAGAGGCAGCAATGAGGTTAAGCTTATTGATCTGTGTTGGGGTCCAGCCCCAGCAGGTCCAGGGGTTCCCAAAGGTGTGGACGGAGTCAGTGAATAAGGAATGACACGGAGATGGCAGCGTTAAGTTGATCAGCATAGCCAGGTTCTCCCTTTATTGTCCTGTTACATCTGTATTTATACTATTTGATCCTATAAGCATGCCTCTATAATCACATCATGGTATGTTTTGGGTAACCTTCTACAGTTCCTTGTTTTATTTCCATAGTTTCTTATCTGACCTTTGCCAAAAATCCTGTCTCTATCTAGTTCTGTTGATTTTAATCTTGTCTAGGTTAATTTCTGTGTTCCATTATAAGGGCTATTCCAAGATCGCTGCTCTACTGATAAGCTACAAGGAAGTGACAGAAGGAGATTATCCTACCCAGTAAAGATTATGTCCTCTCAGCCCCGATGCTTGCCTTCCCTGGGACTGCCCTGTGTCGGTGGGTCTCCAGGGGTATAGGCTTTGGTGCTTTCCTTGGTGGGCAGACCCCTGGGGATGTGGGCCCAACAAGTCCCAAATTTATTGCCAACAGTCTTAGTCCAAGTTCTTCATAAGTAGTACATGGTATTTCTGTAACACTAGGGGGTTTTACTGATTTATTCTCTTCCTTAGTCCTGTTAATCCCTAACTCCAGGGAAAAATCCTCACCTGGGGAAACAACCTTTCTCCGGGAGGTGGTCCTGTTTAAAACACATAGAGCTAAGAGGGGGAGCAAACATATGCCATATACGCCAGGTCCCTTGAAACATAAGCTGTGCAGATGTTTCTTCCCTGCAGCGACTGTGTCAAGCAGCAAGGGTGGACCGGCTTCCGGCAGATCTGACCCAGAGATATGTAGCCTCTCTGTAGCCTGTAAAACTAAGCAAAACTATATAAACTTAAAATTATGCTTAGAACGTATCTAGGCATCCAAGAATTACGATTAATTAGCTCAATTTGGTATTACGAGGTTTAAAATTCATTTAAGTCGATGTACTATGAAACAATTACTGTAAATATAAAAAGTTTGTCAGAATAATTATTTGGTTTTGTTGAGCAAGTTTACAATTCCATGTTCCTAAAACATTATGTAAGGGTAATGTTAGTTCATTTGATCATTACACTTCTATAAATTTAGGAGATTCAAATTAATTATTCTCTCAGTAAGGGAATGAGCTCAAATAAAATACGTGTATTATACTTTACATTGAGGAAAGACATAGGTGTGTTTTGTTAGTCAAACATTAAGTATAACTTGGCCAAGATTTGCTTTAATTCTTGCACCTAGATTCTGTACTAGAAATTTCTGTAAAAAAGAAAAAAAATAGAAATTTCTGTAAGAAGGCTTTAAAAAAAAATCTAGCACATTTAAAGTATTAGAAGTTTAACTTCCTTATTTTCTGGGAATTTAAGGAACAGGTAATTTATATAAGTGTATTTATCTTCATAAGCCAATCAGACAGAGCTCCTTTAAGAGCTGTACTAATCTGATTTCATGTTCTTCAGCAACATGACTTCCCTGGTTTTATCAGGTGAATCCATTGGGATGTTGGTGAAACCTCCAAAATTGTTAAAAGTTTCAAAAAGGAAATATGGCCCTCATACAAATATAAGATGAGAACATGTCAAAGCTTCTACAGCCCTAACTGGTTTGGCTCAGTGGATAGAGCATCAGCCTGTGGACTCAAGGGTCCCGGGTTCAATTCTGGTCAGGGGCATGTACCTTAGTTGCGGACACATCCCCAGTAGGGAGTGTGCAAGAGGCAGCTGATCAATGTTTCTCTCTCATCGATGTTTCTAACTCTCTATCCCTCTCCCTTTCTCTCTGTAAAAAAAGAAAAATCATTTTTTTTAAAAAAGCTTCTACATAACTCATTCATTAAAAAGAGGACCAGTAAGGATGTTCAAATTGGTTCAAAGAAAATTTTGATTTATGGAGACATACTGTCTACCATGCAAAATTCATTTTCATTGTTGTGAACAGGAAACATTTGCATTATTATGCAAAGAAAACAACTGTATTATCCAATTCCTGTAAAGTTAATTTCTATTTCTCGAAAGTTGTAAAACAGTTTAGTCAAAGAGAAAGACACACACCTCCTAACGATCACATCACTCCATAGGGTCCTTTTAAAAATGCCCAGTATTACATAGAAACTTCTCTTTTGACTATTTCAAAATCTTCCACAATTTTCCTGAGATATGATACATTGTGTATAATCTACATTCTATATTTCAGGCTTATACTTCTGTAACATCAGATTCATAGATTCAACAACATGCTGGATATCTTGATATTCTCGGGCATCTCAATCTTGTTATGTCCTAAACTAAATTCATATTTCCCCCCTAAACTAACTTGCCTCTTGTATTTTCTATTTCGCTTAGAGACACTATTCTTCTCCCAGTTACTCATCCTGGAAGCTAGAGTTATCCTTGGCCCCTCCTTTGATAGGGTTCAGGACATACTACCCCAAAATATGGCACCTAGGCATATTGAATTTTTAACCTGGAGGAATTTGAGAAATGATAGATGCAAGGAAGGACTCTCTGAGTTTTGAATAAATGGAATCATATGGTACATACTCTTTTTTGTTTGGCATCTTTCACTCAACATAATCCTTTTGAGACTCATCCATGTTGTTGTGTGGATCAGTAGTTCATTTCTTCTTCAGTGAATAAGTTCACATTTAAAGTTAAATAACACTGACCTTTTAAAAAAAATCTGGAGTCTAAGATCCAAGAGAGAAAAGTATGGTATGTCTTGCTTTTCTAGACATACTGTGGCAGTGTATCATTGATAATCTATTTGCACCTGCTCAAAATATAAACTGCTGGAGTGTTTCTCAATGTCAGATGCTAACACACATGTGATGAACACAGTGAGTAAGTCCATGGGAAGAGCAATGAATAAGTACTTTCCTCTTCATTCCCATTTATAATACACACTCTGTCCACTTCAATTCAATAAGCTTTGAATATATGAGAGGACCAGTTCCTAAAATTTCAGGATTGCCATATTATAATAGGTAAACCATTTCATTGGTATCTCAGTTTCCCTAGTCTCTAAATCAGTTTAAGTTATTGTTATCCATATTCTCTAAACAAACTGTGAAACTTTTTAAAGGATGCGTTTAAAGTAATAAAAAATAACAACCAGGGCTGAAATTGACTATTATACTAAGAATTATTTTGAAATCAGAAGGAAAAATGATAAGGATTCCACGAATCCTCAACTAATAGGCTGTGTTCTGTATGTTTGGGACTAAAAGCACACTTTCCTGTGGAAATACCAATAATTCTAGTAAAGAGATAACACATACTGGGTATGTCACAACCTGTCTTAATTAAGGGAGGGAGGAGGGAATGCGAGCGCCAGTAAGAGGCAAGTAAAAGGTGATATCCATTGGGTGCCCTGTGGGGTAAGGAAGGCTAGAGTGAATGAACTACCCTATTGGCACCCTAGAACTACAGTTCCCAGAATGCCGCAGTGCAGGCTCACTTTAGGGCTCTAACCACTGCAGGATCGGGAGCCGGGGTACTCTGGCTCACCTGCGTTCATGGCTTCTCCTTGCAAGGCGGTAATTGTTCCCGGGAACGGAGGCGTGGATATTGCGGTCGACGGATGGTATTGCTGGGTGAAGAAGAGGCTGGATCAGGTAAGAGACGCCTCGCTGCGCTGGGAAATCAGCCTGGAGCTGGAGGGGACGGAAGGGATGGAGGACTGAAATTTGAACGTGTCTCCCCACTCCTCCTCAACCCCAAACCCTGTGTATTTTCATTTCTCCCCTTTGCTACACTTCTTAACTTTGGTAAAACTCCCTAGAGGATTTCTCTGAGGGGTTAGCCGTCAAGAGTACCAGGCACCACCTCCTGGAACTGCAGAGACCGAGTCCCCTCCCCCTCCCCGTATCTGCTGCTGGTTCAGATTTGGAAGTTCCCATAAAGTTTTACAGCTGTTCCCTTTGCTCCCTGGCTCCGATTCTTTAAAATTCAACATGTAATATTAATGCATGTATACAAAGGATATATGTAACATGTATGTGAATTATGAATCATAATCTATATGCCCATGCTTCCTCTTGTTCTACCCGGAACGCTCTGTCCCTAGATACCTGCATGGTTTTTTCCTCCTGAGAATCCATCATCAAACTAAAATCTAGAACACTACCAATAGACGCCATCTGTGTGCTCCCATCCCATTTCCCTGCCATCCTGATTTTATTTTCATTTGCTCCTCTTTTTAAAGTACTTTTGCAACCTCTATATGTATCTTTTAAACACATATTGTTTAATTTGGCTTCTTTGTGAGCTTTATAGAAATGGCATTCTACTCTAGGTTGTCTTGTATATCTTGTTGTTTTTTTTAACTCTCTTCATAACCAGACAATAAGATTACTTCCTGGGTTGCTGACCTCTAGAGCTCTGAAGTAAGTTTCTAGAATAAAATACCTGGGTTGTGGCTGAAAACCATGGCTGGAGCTGCCGAAGAGGATGGGATCTCCAACCTTCTGTACCACATTTTATCTGCTCCCTGGCACACAGTCTCTTTGGCTCCAGATCATTCTGTCTAGAACACATTCAATCATACCCTCTCTACAGATATAAGGATTTCTATATAGAGACCTACAGAGCTGGCTAGATATAGAATAACAGACACATGATGTTTTTGAGAAGGATTGTATATTCATATGTAATCCTGTAGTGCTTAACCCACTTCATTTCATAACATAAGCAAACACTTATTGAATAAAGATCATATCAGGTGTCTCATTTCTTATTAGCAAAGTATTAGTTGTAATGAAGCTGTTTATTATAGCTTTTCCCCCCCCTTCATGTCATAGATACCTGGTTTCCAGTGTTTGGCTAAAAACATGCCTGACCCAAGTGAGTATTAAAAGTGTTTTTATAGCCTCATCTTGTTGGATTTTAATCTTGCATTTTCCTGGTAGAGAACAAGAATATCATAGTAGAGCAGCCTAAGAGAATATGTACCTAAGAATGAATGATCCCAAGTAGTTTGGGGAGGAGGGTATATAAAAAAAAAATTTAATAGACAATTCTAGTAAGGACCAAGAAAAGCACTTGGGCCCTGGCCAGGTGGCTCAGTTGGCTGAAGCATCATCCTGTACACCAAAAAGGTTACAGGTTGGATTCCCAGTCAGGGCACATACCTTCAATCCCTGGTCAGGGCATGTATGGGAGGCTACCGATAGATGTTTCTCCCACCCCCCTTCTTCTCTCTCTAAAACCAATAAAAACATATCCTCAGGTGAGGATTAAAAAAAAGGGAAAAAATAAAAATACTCGGGCTTGGTAAAATTTAATTTTCAACTTTGCAAGCAACTTCATTTTCCCTTCTATAAATCAACAATTATTTCCAGGCAAAATTTATGGGTGTTCCACTTGAGGCAGAGTTAGGATAAAACTTTACAGCATCTATGAGATCCTAATATTTAAAAAATATAACAGTCACACTTTTTAAAAAATATATATTTTTATTGATTTTTTACAGAGAGGAAGGGAGAGGGATAGAGAGTCAGAAACATCGATGAGAGAGAAACATCGATCAGCTGCCTCCTGCACACCTCCTATTGGGGATGTGCTCGCAACCAAGGTACATGCCCTTGACCAGAATCAAACCTGGGACCTTTCAGTCCGCAGGCCGATGCTCTATCCACTGAGCCAAACCGGTTTTGGCAACAGTGACACTTTTGTTCTGAGTTTGGCTATGACTTGTCTCAGGAATTTCCGTTTTGAAAAGAAATAATGTACAAATTTGAGAGAGAACATTGTCCTTTAAGTTGGAAAGTTTAAAGCTTCAGAGTTATAAAATTTATTATCTCCTCAGTATTTTCTTATAAGAAAATGGTAAAAAATAAAAACAAAACTACAGATTTGATTCTTTCAAACAGCAACATGCACTGTCTCTATTAAAATGGCTCCATTGCCACTGTGATCCTGAAGTTTTAAAGTTGTGAACTGCTGAGTAGTCATCTATTAGAAAGGCGGGCAGCATTAGATGAAGGCTGTCCCTATCAAATGACAGACTCTTTCTTTACCCTGAATCTTAGTTACAGCTCGAGAGAGCATCTGGCTGCCCTTCATGGAGACAGAGCTGCATTGTGACGAGAGGACCATCATCATAGGCCACAGTTCCGGGGCCATCGCGGCCATGAGGTGCGATCCTTGTTGAATTATCACCCTGTGTGGGCTCCAACCATCTTTTTGGGAAATACCTTGTGTATATTTGGTTTCCACTGTAGAGGAAATAGTGCTGACTTCAAAAGTGGAAACATAATTTATCGTAATGCTTCCTGGTTTGGTTAGTGGATTAAAACCTTTTTTTTTTCTTTTACTGGGACCCAGTGATCTTTTAAAAAAGTTAGTGGCTCCTTCCCCAGCTGCTGCTCTTCCCTTCAGAAAAACTTCTAGGCCTTCAAGGCTCTGAGTAGCTCCGATGTCATTTCTACCTTCACTGCCCCCAGCCTGGTTTACAGACCTCATTGTAGTTCCTTAACATGCTAAGTGTGCGCCTACCTTAGGCCCGTACTTGCTCTTGTTCTACCTGGATAACTGCCTGGTTTTCTCCTCCTCTTTAGGCTCTGCTCGAATATTCCCTTTCAGTAAGGCCTCTTCTAATCACTCCACTTGAAACAACCACCTCACTTCACTGGCTCCTATTCCCTTTATACCTTATTATCTATACCATTTTTCACCATCTGATATCCTGTTTATTTCTTGTCTCCTGCCAATAGAATGTAAGATCAATGAGGGTGGACTTTGTTCCCTCTGCCTCTAAAACCCCAGTGTCTAGAAGAGTGTCTGGCATATGGTCGGTGTTCAATAAATATTTGTTAGCGATTAGAGGCTGTTACTCCTTCTCTCCTTAAACCCCAAGTCCTTAGGATTCATGGGCATGTTCCTGATGATCACCAAAGAACATTACATCTCTCCCTTTAGGGTTGTAAGGCCTAGGGGTTAGGGACTTAGCTGGCTGAATAAGCCTGTTCGGGTTGGGTTTCTTCCATATTTGCCAGGCTGGATGACAAAGGATTGTGGTTTTTATTCATCTAGTGTCATCCCAAGCAGTCCTTCAGGATGTCACATGAATTGCATGTCAAAGAATCTTGCCCAGTGCTCGCTTCAGCAGCACATATACTAAAATTGGAACAATACAGAGAAGATTAGCATGGCCCCTGCGCAAGGATGACACGCAAATTCGTGAAGCGTTCCATATTTTTTTAAAAAGAAAAAAAAGAAAAAAAAAGAATCTTGCCCAATTCCATAACCTTTCAGCCACACTAATCAAAGCTACAGGAATAATAATGCTTTGCAATATGGAGTTATAGAATTATGGTACAGTCAGTGTTTATAAGCTGCCAGGGCTTGTCTAGAAAATGAAGAAATCTCTTTATGCTGAAATCTGTACCACCTCAAGGCCAACCGAATATTTCTCAAGCCCTTGGCTAATAAAGGTGTGCCTTCTTTTAAAGATCCCTGCAACTGATTGCAGGATTTTGAGCAACATTCTAATAACTAACTTCTAAAGTTAACTCTTTGAGTGCCAACCAATATCCTAGGAACTATGCTAAAATTGCCAAGGCATTTTTGCTGATTTTACAGCAGTTTAGGAAAAAAAATTATGAATCGCAAGTAAATGAAGTTACATATTCAAAAACTTAAGGAAACCTTTACTACATTTGTTTTCATCTTTTACATATATTGTTTGCTGATTGTATTATAAAATACTAGTAGAAAAAAATTTGAACAAACAATCTATAATGTTAAAATAGAGGGACACCCTTCTCCAATATCTTCCACAAAATCGTCATCTTCACAGCAAGAATTGACATATTTAGCAATATCATCATCACTAATAAAAGCAGACTTAGAACTGGACGCCATTTCGAAGCTTTAGGGCTACAAAATCTGAGTAAACTTCATAAAATCATAGTATCTGTAAAAAATTAGGCAGATAAATGCCAATGGTCAATTTTAGAACTACAAACATTTGGCATCATAAGTAATCTGCACTTAGGTGCCATCTGTCAATAAAGAGTAAACTACTAGCATCTAACAATGACACTGCAGGAGGAGCGCGATAGCTCTCCCGGCACTTTTGGCGAAAGACAGGAGGAGCGAGATCCGCTCCCCACCACTCTAGGGGTTAAGGTAGACAGAGAAAAATAGATACCAAAACCATGGGGGATTGTAGAGGATTGACAGAGTCCCAGAGGACCATCCCCACACATTACTTGTTAATCACAAAAGGGAAATAATTTCTTTTAAAAAATATATATTTTTATTGATTTCAGAGAGGAAGGTAGAGGGAGAGATAGAAAAATCAATGATGAGAGATAATCATTGATCAGCTGCCTCCTGCATGCCCCCTACTGGGGACCGAGCGCGCAACCCAGGCATATGCCCTTGACCGGAATCAAACCCGCGACCCTTCAGTCCGCAGGCTGACACTCTATCCACTGAGCCAAGCAGGCTAGGGCAGGAAATAATGTCTTTACAATGGAAAAATTTGATGGATGTCACCCTTAAGCCAGCAATTACCAACTTTCATGCCACAGCAGGCACACTGGTGTGCCACAAGAATTTTTGAAACATGCAATACCTGACTAGTTAGGGGCACCGACCTCTTTTTCCTGAGACTGTCAGATAAGAACAAAACAAAACACAAAACAGCCAACATAATAACTATCAGATGAGAATGGATCAAAATTACGTTTTTTTGTCAGATTGGCAAAAAGTATATTTTTTGTTTGTGCCACAGAATTTTAGTAATTAGTTTATGTGTGCCATGATATAAAACTGGTTGAAAATTGCTGCCTTAAGCAAGTAATCAAAGTTAATCTCAGCAATAATGGCACCAATTGGCTTCAGGTGCCTCTGATGGGTGACCTGGGAGATTCACAACATCATCTAACTATATCCTTGCCAGAAATGTCTAACCTCAGTCTAATCATGAGGAAATAGGCAAATTCAGGTTATGGGATAATGTACAAGACAGCTGGCCTAAATTTTTAAAAACTGTTGATGTTCTTTAAAACAAAAAAATTCAGCGTTAGCTGGTTTTGCTCAGTGGATAGAGCATCGGCCTGCAGACTGAAGGGTCCCAGGTTCGATTCTGGTCAAAGGCACATGCCCACAGTTGTGGGCTAGATCCCATGTGGGGCTTGTAGGAGGTAGCCAATCAATTATTCTCTCTCATCATTGATGTTTCTCTCTCTCTCTTTCTCTCTCCCTCTCCCTTCCTCTCTGAAATCAATATATATATATTGAAATCAATATATATATTGAAATCAATATATATATATTGAAATCAATATATATATATTGAAATCAATATATATCTATATATATATATCTATATATATCTATATATATATATATATATTTTACAGTGACTAGAGTCTTGAAAACCAAATGCAGTGCATGATCTTTGACTGGACCTAGGATTGAAAAAGCAGTTTTAAAGAGCATTTTTGGTACAATTGGGGGGAAAAATAGAGTTAATATGTTTCAATGTTAAATTATTCAGTGTAATAGTGGTACTGTGGTTATATAAGAGGATAGCCTTAGTCTTAGGGATACATGCTGAAGATTTAGGGTGAAATGTAGCAAAATTAATGAATCTAGGTGCTTGTTATTCTAACTTTTCTGTAGGTTTGAATGTTTTTCAAAACAAAAGGTTGTGGAAAGAAGTTTAGGCCCACGAAAAAAATACCAACCCTAAATCTTTTCTGGTACCATGGCTCCTTGAAACTGTTATCATTCTATGTCTTACCTTAGCCTAGTTTTTTTAAAAATATATTTTATTGATTTTTTATAGAGAGGAAAGGAGAGGGATAGAGAGTTAGAAACATCGATGAGAAACACTGATCAGCTGCCTCCTGCACACCCCCCACTGGGGATGTGCCCGCAACCAAGGTACATGCCCTTGACCAGAATCGAACCTGGGACCCTTCAGTCCGCAGGCTGATGCCCAAACTGACTAGGGCATCTTAGCCTAGTTTTTGAGGGAACTGTCTGCAAATAGGTAACTGTTTCCCAGGTATTATACTAGGCACCAGGGTCACAAAGATCAAGGTTCAGATGTGCCCTTTAGGAGCTGATGGTTTACATTGGGGAGATAGATATATTCTACAATAATAAAAGTGTAATATGCTAATTAGACCAGACAGCCAAACAACCTTCTGGACGTTATTCTGGATGTCCTTCCAGAGGAAGCTGCAGCAGCGGGGGCTGAGGCAGAGGTGGTTAGGGGCGATCAGGCAGGCAGGCGAGTAGTTAGGGGCAATCAGGCAGGCAGGCAGAGTGGTTAGGGGTGATCAGGCAGGCAAGCGAGCAGTTAGGGGCGATCAGGCAGGCAGGTGGGCAATTAGGGGTGATCAGGCAGGCAGGTGAGTGGTTAGGAGCCAGTGGCCCTGGATTGCGAGAGGGATGTCTGCAAGAGGAATGTCTGACATCCCCCGAGAGGCCCTGGATTGCAAGAGGGTGCATGCCGGGCTGAGGGACACCCCCCTCCTGTGCATGAATTTCGTGCACCGTGCCTCTAGTACTACATAAGTAATACAATGCAATGTGGAGTGTGTGGTAAAAGAGGTACATTTCTGCTATTTACAGAATTTCTTAAAATAGGGTTGGGAGAGGTGGCATACCTTAAAATGCAGATCCCTGGGCCCTGTTCCCAACCTTTTTAAAAATTTTAGATATATTTTTATTGATTTCAAAGAGAAAGGGAGAGGGAGAGAGAAACATCACTGATGAGAGAGAATCATTGATTGGCTGTCTCTTGCACATCCCCCACTGGGGACCAAACCCGCAATCAGGGCATGTGCCCTGACTGGGATTCAAACCGTGACCTCCTGGTTCTTAGACCAACCCTCAACCACCGAGCCACACCTGCCGGGCTTCCCAACCTTTTGAATCATACTTTAGGACTGAGCCTGGAAATCTGTGTGTTAATCAAGTAATGCTGATGCATACTAATGGTAGATTGCACACACTGAAGAAAATGATTACGCTTTTATGTGTATTGGGAAAGGATTGCAGAAGAGGTTTGGACTACCTTGAAAAATGAGTAGAAACTCATCAAGTAACCATTGAGCTTATAGTTCTGCAGTTTCCTTACTATTTCTCATATTAACTCCAATAGCATATAGCGCATGCTTCTTGTAAGCTAAACCAAATGAGATAAGTGGTTAACTGACTTTTTGGTGATCAGATTTAACATTAAATATTAGCTGACATCATTTCTCTCTCTTCAGGTATGCAGAAACACATCGAGTGTATGCGATTGTATTAGTGTCTGCATACACATCAGACTTAGGGGATGAAAACGAGCGTGCAAGTGGTAAGTTTGAAGGCAGAAACCCCAGAAGAGCCCGTCCTCTAGTCACAGGGCTGCTTGTTCAGGTTATAAAACAGCGTTGTCTTTTGGTTAGGCTTAAACAAATCTAACGGCAGATGAAAAATATTTACCATCCATCTTTAGCTATAAGTTTGGCACTTTGAGAGCTTGTAACCATTTCTAATCCATGGTCTAGAATTGAACCCTCGAGGCCTGACTGTATATGAGCCATACTTCCCTTTCACAAGTACCTATTGTGGGGTGCGGCTACAGTGTTTTGGCCAGGTTCAAGCCTCGGACTAATGAAAGGACAGGGTCCTCTCATTGCCACGTGCAAGTCCCAGCTGGAGGGCAGGGCCCTCCCAGCACAATTATAGCCAACAGCTATGGTTGTAAGCTTGAACCTATGGTCCGAACACGTGGCCCTACGTGCCTTGTGATAGAGTTCAGGTGCATGTAGTTAAGTGAGGTTGAAACTCACGAGAATGCTGTAAACAACTTGATCACGCCCCTACTTTGCCTCGTGGCATCTGCTATAAAATAAAGATACGGCTTGTGGGTGCTGGCGTTGTCTCCTCATCAGGGAGCAGCGTCCCACCGAGACCCAGCTCTCATTCCCTTGTCTGTCTTTTCTCAATCCTTTCACCCCCCCACTCAGGATCACCTTTGGCCCTAACACCTATGATATCAAGCCCTACAGATCTGAAAACCACTTAGGTTCTGATTCTTTGTGTGTCTGCTACGGTCTGGACTAGTTATTTCAGAATGGCTAGAATAGAAATTATCCATTGGCACTGATAGGTTATATATATTTTTCTCCTTAGGCTACTTCAACCGCCCCTGGCAGTGGGAGAAGATCAAAGCCAACTGCCCTCACATTGTGCAGTTTGGCTCCACTGATGATCCTTTCCTACCCTGGAAGGAACAACAAGAAGTGGCAGATAGTTTGGAAGCCAAACTTTACAAATTCACTGACCGTGGCCACTTTCAGAAGACGGAGTTTCCCGAACTGATTGATGTGGTAAAGTCTATGCTGAAAGAGTCAGCACAAAAAGAATGATTTCTGCTATTCTGCATACCAATATAGTAGAGCAATGATCAGATTATAGGTAAATCATCAAAAATGCCTAAAAAACAAACACAAGTTTCAATGTTCAAACTAAGTTACAAGTAGCATTTCCATTTTCCATAGAATCTCTTTCCAAATTGCTATGAATTAAAGCAGTATTTTCCTTATGATAAGGGACCTTAAGGACATGTTAACCATCCAAAGTGAGTAAGACACAAATGGAACCCAGGTTTCCTGATTTCCAGCCCAGATGAAAACTAAATAAATTTGATGTATAAGAGTTGTACTCCTCCTCTTTAAAGTAAAATTTGTTTTGTTGGAGAAAGAAAACATGACTAAAGGTCTAGAGTGTAGGCTTAGAGCTCAAAACACTAGCTGCTGTTTTGAGCTGGCCCAAGATATTAAACCCAGACTAGGGCCTTCACCTTTGACACCTTGCCCCCCAACCCCCGGTCCTTCAAACAGGTTGAGAGACAATGAAATATAAGGATGCTATGAGGCAGGGATCTGCAAGGGTTAGGCAGGGAGTATGAGAAGTCAATTTTATTTGTGTAAGACCACAGTTGGGAGGATAAGGGCTATGTGGAGAACTCATGTCATGTGGGAATGTGGCAAGGTGTGGCCAAACTTCTGATTTTTTTGAGGAAAAAACTTTATACAATCGTTTTTATATTTAGGGAATATATATATGCATATATGCATATTTGCACACATATATATAATCCATATGTACATATGGATTAGTTGGCAAGTACAGTGTAAATAAAAAATTTACAAACAGTGCAACACACACAAAAGTCCAAGCCATCCATTTGTGGCTTCTGCCATAATTATTAATTTAGCCAGGTGCCTTAAAGGATTCCCTATAAAGCCTGAGAAATGGCCCTGACCGGTTTGGCTCAGTGGATAGAGCGACGGCCTGCGGACTGTAGGGTCCCAGGTTCGATTCCAGTCAAGGGCATGTACCTTGGTTGTGGGCACATCCCCAGTAGGGAGTGTGCAGGAGGCAGCTGAATCGATGTTTCTAACTCTCTATCCCTCACCATCTCCCTTCCTCTCTGTAAAAAATCAATAAAATATATTAAAAAAAATAAAAATAAAATAAAGCCTGAGAAATGAACATAATGTCAAAAGATAAAATCATGGAAACAATTTGGATTTTGTTAGTCTTATTTTTTAAAATAATCCTTCCATTCCTCAAGTTTTTATTCTGTAGAGTTCTACTTTTTAACTCCCATGGTTCTTTAGATCTCTTTCATTTCCCATTTTTCTTCTGATCATGATATATATATATATATATATATATATATATATATATATATATATAATTTAACTTTTCATTTCTCAACAATTTTTGCCTATTACGATCCCTAAATGTTGCCTCAAACAATTATAGAAAGTACAACTGGACAGCACTGGAGTCTAGGGCATGTATTTTATATTCTTCCCTGACCCACAATCTAATATGACTCAACTTGAAATTACTTAACTAGTTTGCTTAGTTGGTTATCATAAAAATCATGGCTCCATAAAACTTACTCACCAAACTAAGATCAGAGAAGCTTCATGGAAGAATCCCACATAAACTATTCGTTTAAGTCCGCAACCCGGGCATGTGCCCTGACTGGGAATCAAACCGTGACCCCCTGGTTCATAGGTCGACACTCAAACACTGAGTCAGGCATGCTGGGGAGAAACTTTATTTTATTTTATTTTATGTTTTTATTGATTTTAGAGAGGGAGAGGGAGAAAGATCGATGAGAAACATCAATAAGCCATCAAATCATAGATTCTCATGTTTGACTGTATATACTAGTAGCTCATTATTAACCATAGCAAGGCCTTGCCAGACTCCAGGGAATATCTATTCTCAGGTGAGCAAAATACCTTATATTAAATGAAAATCAACTGTAAGGATTAGTACTTCACTCACAACTTGTTTTGGTGTTGTCATGAGTCTAGAGCCCCACTATTTGTTTTGGTCAAAGTTTACTCCTGTACATAAATATACATTTGTCATTGAAGGTGCTGTATTTTTAAATTGTCTCTTTTCTCCTTCAGTTAATTTTCAGAATTTAAAACATGCTATGAAAAAAATGTTTAAAGAGAATCTTTATTCTAGTGAGGCAAGGGATACTTTTATGTTTTAGCCATTGATTGTAAGCTTTAAAAATAAATCTTTGGGAAAAAAATCAAGACATAATGCAAAGTCTATATTTATAACTGGTTCCTGCTATCCAATGCTAATTCTCCTCTAAGTTCAGTTTGCTTATTAAATAAGACTATGCCTCTGTGATAGGCCAGGTCCCAGGAAGGACAGATATTACCATTCCAACTCTCACTGGGGATAGAAGAGAAACCTGTAGTTTACAGGCTCCCAGATTCTATCTTATATATATCCAATACTTAAAGTGTTATTTGTTTCAAAGAGCTAGTGTCATCAAATGCTAATTCTGTATAGTGGCCACAGAATTTTGATTCTTAAAAATTGGTTATTGAACTGAATTTATTTTACTAATCCCATTTATTTCAAAATAACCCTTCTGGTTGTCCACTTAGCAGGACTGGGGAACCGTTTTTTTGCTAAGGGCCATATGGATATTTATAACATCATTCACTTAATATAAATTTGTTGATAAATTTACACTCCTAGATTTATTGAATTTCAAGTCCTCCCCATAATTGCCTTGGTAGGGCCAGACCAAATGGTTTTGTGGACCTTATACAGCCCTCTTGCTGGATGTTCCCCACCCCTGACTTAAGAGTATCTCCAAACTGGTGTTTGAACTCAGGCCTCAGGAGTAGCTGAGCTTGAATTCCTTTCCTTTGGTATCACACTTTTGGCCTAGTCCAGGGGTGGGCAAACTTTTTGACTCGAGGGCCACAATGGGTTCTTAAACTGGACCGGAGGCCTGGAACAAAAGCATGGATGGAGTGTTTGTGTGAACTAATATAAATTCAAAGTAAACACCATTACATAAAAGGGTACGGTCTTTTTTTTTAGTTTTATTCATTTCAAACGGGCCGGATCCGTTTGCCCCCAGCTGACCTAGACACAGAAACTTTTTTATAAAATATATTTTTATTGATTTCAGAGAGGAAGGGAGAGAGATGGAAACATCAATGATGTCTCCAGCATGCTCCCGACTGGGGATTGAACCCGCAACCTGGGCATGTGCCCTGACTGGGAATCAAACCGTGACCTTTAGGTTGACACTCAAACACTGAGTCACACAGGCCAGGCACGTTTATGTTTTTATTGCTTTTAGAAAGGGAGAGGGAGAAACATAGATGAGAGCCATCAATCAGCCCCCCCCCCCCCCAGGGAATCAAGCCTGCAACCTGGGGGTGTGCCCTTACTGGAGATTGGACTGGGGACCTCTCTGTGTATGGGGGGATGTTCAACCCAACTTACACTACCCCAGGGCAACACAGAAACTTTTAAATGGAGTTAAAAGGGAAAATACAACAGCTGAGAACCTAAAAAGCCCTCCAGCTAACATCTGTGCAACACATCGAATACTAGTAAGCTAGTATTTTCTATATGTCTAAAGAATGGAACTGAAAGTGGTATTAGAACTAAGCACAATGACAATGGCTTTCTGCTCAGTTTAGACATGAGTTTTAGAACAGAATAAGGAAAAGAAACAAGTCTAAAACAGGACAAGAACAGAAGAATGGTACCCCTTCCCAAAATAAAGTGTTAGTACAGGGCAATGGATTATTTTTAGTTTTAATGTTACTTAAATAATAAGAATATAGGAAAAATTCTATTAAATAATACAACTTAGCCACAGAGTGAACTTGTAAGACTTTAACAAAGAAGGTCTAGAGAAAAAAATCCTTTGGATGAGAATAATAATATTTATGGACTGAAAACATCCTTGACAATAGTCGTCATTTAGGTTTGAGGTAAATTCAGTGGCATAATCCTCCAAAAGAATTTTTTTTTTTCTTAAATATATTTTATTGTTTTTTTACAGAGAGGAAGGGAGGGATAGTTAGAAACATCGATGAAAGAGAAACATCAATCAGCTGCCTCCTGCACACCCCCTACTGGGGATGTGCCCACAACCAAGGTACATGCCCTTGACCGGAATAGAACCTGAGACCTTTCAGTCCGCAGGCCAATGCTCTATCCACTGAGCCAAACTGGTCAGGGCAGAACCTTTCTTTTTTTAAAAAAAATATTTTTATTGATTTCAGGGAGGAAGAGATAGAAACATCAATGATGAGAGAGAATCATTAATCAGCTGCCTCCTGCACGCCCCCTACTGGGGATTGAGCCTGCAACCCAGGCATGTGCCCTTGACCAGAATTGAACCTGGGACTCTTCAGTCCGCAGGCCAACACTCTATCCACTGAGCCAAACCAGCTAGGGCAAGAATATCTGACATAAAAAGGAACAGAATGTGGAAAAGGATGTTCCAACTATCCTCTCCATTCACGCCCCAAGTTTGCACAGACTGCTCTGCTATTCCTGCCTTTCCTGTTTTAATTTCTTCTCAGTGGAACCATTGAGGAAACAGAAATGGTGATACTGAACCAGATATAAACAATCTCCAATGAAGACCTTAATAAATAGCTTCAAAACAAGCATTTTTAGGCTCTAGCCATTATCCATTGGTAAATATGCATTTGTTGGCTTCTTTTTTCTTGGACAGTCAAGTCTTGAAAGCTTCAGATGTTGTCCTCCAGAACTTCAAAGTATTTTATTAAAGAATGGATTTCACTTACCTGCTTCATATTCTGGTGGCTACTCTACCAATATAAATTTAGTCTTCATAGATTTAAAAAATATATTTTCATAGCAGTAAGTCTGTATCCATTATTGTGAAGTTTGCTTTCAAGGGAATTTGATGTTCCATCATGAGTTAAATTACTTGCTCCCAAAGTAACTTCATTTGAAAGATGTCATAAAGTTCCTAGCTCTCTATTAAAATTCAAGCCATTCTGTCATGTAAATACAGTTAGATGGTGAAATCTCACCACCTTCATGGCAGTCGTCAAAAACCTTTAAAACAGAAAAATGTTAATATTCAAACTGAAGTTTTAAAAAAATTATACTAATAAAGTAAAATTAAGTGTCAACTATAACTCAAATTTCTATTAACTAACTATCCAAGACCCAACCATTTACTTAAAGCACTATTAAAAACAAAACTTTCAAATTGAAGGAGATTAGGTCTGTATTTAAGGACACACTGTAATTAGGCCTGCTCTGTGATCATAAAGTTACTTAATGGGAAACCTTTTACTACAGCATTAAGATGACCATGTTCACCTGCCCACTGGGGAAAAGGCTATCAGGGGGTACCACAGGAATACAAGGGAGATCTATACATAGGAATGACTTAGTTTTGACTAACCAAATGTTTCCTGTTTAGCTACTTTTGTTTTTGTGAAGGGTGCCGAATAGAATTTCCAATATGCTAGCCTTTTTTCTAGTAATTGAAACCATGGCATAGAATGCTTAGATATATAGAAAAGGGCCAGTTATCTATAATAATAAAAGCATAATATGCTAATTAGACCGGATATCCTTCCAGATGAAGCCAGGGCTGCAAGGGAAGCCTGGGTCCCGGGTGCCTTCCGGCGCCCGGAGGGAAGCCTTGGTCCTGAGTACCAGAGGGAAGCCGGTGCCAGCAGCCGGGGGAAGGAAGGCCTACTCTTGCACGAATTTCATGCATCGGGTCTCTAGTAATGAAATAAAACACAGACTAGCAGCCCATGAATATAAATGCGATGAGGGCTGGAGCAGTCCCTATAGCACACAATTGGCACTCATAAACTATATGGGAATGAATGAATGAATAGTACTTGGGCATATTGCAGGGGACAGAACATTACCTCTGAGTTTGAATCCTGGTTGTTACTTCTAAGCTACATGCTCTTAGGTCTTTCTTAGCCTAAGTTCCCTCCTACTTAAGGGAAAATAACACCAGTAGCTCTCAAAGGGACATAAGGAGGATTAAATGAAATCACATAAATCTTCAAAAACACGTCTGACTATGGTACGTTCTCAACAAATCTCATTTCTCACACTACTCAGGTTAAATGACTAATAGTTGTCAAAAATTGTCCATTTTAGGGCTAAGAGCAGAAAACACAGATCTCTTATGTAAGGCAATGATTTGTTCATTAAATATCAAGATTACACGGAGGTTTGAGTAATTCTTGGTCAACCCTGAGAGTCAGAGAACTGGGGTGTGCTTGCTGGTACGTTATGTGGCATTTGCACTTGGAGGTAGTCAAGTGTAACGTGAAGCCTCTTGAACTCACCGGGCAGAGTCCACAGGGGGCCCGGACCAAGCCCGTAGGTGGGATGATTGGATTGACTGCTCTGTACAGTTTCATGTGTCCGTCTACACTGCCAACTGTGCCTTCCTTTGCAGCGATGATAGTCATCTCCACTTTCCCATCATATATGAGTGTATTCAAGATGGTTTCAATGTCCTCCATGGACAACTCTACCTGTAAAGGGGATATATTAAAAATGAAACAAAAAGGACAAAGACACATTCTTTTGGAGGGAGTTAAAAACAAGTCATCGAAAACACAAAGAGGCTGAACAATGATCCAAGTTAGCACAAACCACTCAAATGCTAGGGACAGAAATCTTACCTCAAACTGAGTTTGATATCTTTGCTCTTTAATGTCATACCTAGAAGTCTTATAAAGTCAAGTTTGGCAAGAACTGGATGGAGATTTATAAAATGCTTGAGCAGAAAGTACTTTAGACATAGAACAGTCTTTAGTCAAAATCACTAGTTTTTTTATAAGTGAAAAATCTGGGAAATGAAAAATGACTTGTCCAAATGTTCACTTCAATTTCTTCTTTGATCATGAAAAGCATTCAGCACAGTTTCCTTATGTATAGGACTTTATGTAAAGGTCTTCAAAAAATATGCCGATCCCACCATATATCTCATAAGAAGGAAAATACCAATAAATGACAGCTGATGTGATGACTGTTTGGCACATATATTGAAATGTGCCTGAGAAAGTCAGAACAAACTTCTGAAAGTGAAGTGTACTACCAGGCTCCGCTCTGCTGCACTATCTCCCAAGCCCAAATACACACAGTTCTGACAATGCCAATGGCAATGACCAACTTTGCCTAACAGGCTCAGGATAGTACTTTCTCAAAGTGTGTTCTGCAGAATACTCACAGGTTATCACCTGAAAAAAGGGTATGGGTCAAATATGTTTGGCATATATTGTAAACTATACCACTATGATAAATAAGTTTTTAAAAATAAGATTAAAATTAGAAACTGAGTTCTGACCTTACTGATCCCCAATTCACAGATATATTTCCATACTTCGTGTGATGAAGCAAATGAACTATTTCTTTGTATCATTGGATTCTGTTTGCTTTCTCGGGCTGTTTCTGCCTGTAAGGATAGACACATAAATCTCAGCAAGAACACTACTGTTTTCTGAATACAATTTATACAAAGTGAAATCAACAGAACATATTTTGTTTAGTAAAAATTACCAATTTAATGCCTATAAAACAAGACCTACAAAATTAAACATTATGAAGGAACTTAAAAAGAAATGATTGTTTACTCAATTATGCCTTACCTTGGTTTGTAGGAACTTAAAACACTGTTGGTTAAGCACCTCTACAAATTCAGATTCAAAATCCTGGTCACTGTACCAGGCTCCACCAGTCACAGACCGGTCAGGCTGCAGGTTATAGAGCATATACACCTTTTTCTTTGAGGCCTAGGAAAAAGCATGCACAGAAGATGTGCTTATAAGCTAACAATATCCCAAAACTAAGATGTGAAAAAAGCTCAAAACATTGTATTTTAGAGTTTTAGATTCACAGAATTATTGTGAAAATGGTAATAGAATTCCATTTACCTTGTGATGTTTTCCCTATTATTAGCATCTTACATTAATAGGGTACATTTGTTACAACGAACCAATATTGATATATTATTATGAACTAAAATCTACACTTTGTTCATATTTCCTTAGTTTTTCCATAATGTCATTTTTTCTGGTCCATTTTTCTCCCCAAGATACCACATTAGATTTAGTTGTCATGTCTTCTGAGGCAAATTTTAGTTGTGACAGTTTTTAAGTGTTATCGATGAACTTGCCAGTTTTGAGAATTACTGGTCAGGTATTCTGTAGGATGCCCTTAACTGGGATTTGATCTGATGTTTTTCTGATGATTAGACTGGAAGAAAGATCACAGAGATCAAATGACCTTCTTATCACATCATATCAAGGGGATCTGATTGTCACCAAGTGATGATTGTCCTCAATATGACTTATCAGTGTTGACATTAACCTTAATCACCTGGCTAAAGGTACACTGTAGTTACTTTTTCCCCTGCCCTTTCCTTGGAAGAAAGTTACCATGCACCACCCACAATTAAGGATTAGGAATTATGCTCTACTCTCTTTAGGGTGGAGTGTCTATATAAATTTGGAATTCTTCTGTATGGATTTGTCTGATCTGTCCCACTTATTTATTCAAACATCTACCGGTATGGACTTAGGAATATTTATACTACTTGGTTTGCAACCTTGAAAATATCATGCTAAGTGAAAGAAGCCAGACCCAAAAAACCACACATATGATTCCATTTATAGGAAATGTCCAGAACATTAGTGGTTGTCAGGGCCTTGGGACAAGGAGGTTGGGGAGTGACTGCTAGTGGGGTCACATGTTGGGGTGAGGAAAATGTTTTAAAATTAGAAGAGTGTGATGGCTGCACAATCCTGTGAGTACACTAAAACCCAATGAATCATACCCTTTAAGAGAATTAATTTTGTAATATGTAAATATCTCAATAAAGCTATTAAAAATAAAGATATAGGAGAATTGTAGAAATGAAGCTAGGAGATGGGTATGTGGGGATTCATTATATTATTTACTTCTGTATATACTGGAACTTACCTATTAGAAATGTGAAACAGAAATAATATTCTAACTTAGGGAGTGGTATGACATAAATATCATTGATAAATAAAATCAAATGAATTATCAAATCATTTTTCTTTGGCCTGATGTTTTTTATTCACCTGATTTTTTTTATTTTATTTAATTTTTCAATTACAGTTGACATTCAATATTATTTTATATTTGTTTCAGGTGTACAGCCTTGTGGTTAGATAATCATATACCCTACAAGTGATCCCCTGATATTTCAAGTACCCACCTGGCATCATACATAGTTATTACATTATTGACTATATTCCCTATACCAGTGGTTGGCAAACTGTGGCTCAGTAAACCACTGCTCGCAAGGCACATGCGGCTCTTTGGCCCCTTCAGTGTGGCTCTTCCACAAAATACCGACTTCTGCGCATGGGCCATGAAGTTTCAATCGCATTGTATGTGAGCACCCGCACGTGGTACTTTTGGGAAGAGCCACACTGAAGAGGCCAAAGTGCCGCGGTTTGCCGACCATGGCCCTATACTATACTTTACATTTCTGTGATTATTTTGTAACTATCAATCTGTTCTTCTTAATCCCTTTTCCTTTTCACCCAGTCCCCCAAACTCCCTCCCCTCTAGCAACCATCAATTTGTTCTCTGTATCCGTGAGTCCGTTTCAGTTTTATTTATTCATGTATTTTGTTCTTTTTTTTTTTTTTAACGTATTTTGTTCTTTAGATTCCACATATAAGTACAATCATATATTTGTCTTTATCTGACTTCTTTCACCTAGCATAATACTCTCTAGGTCTGTCCCAAATGGTAAGATTCTATTCTTTTTTTTTTTTTTAAGATTCTATTCTTATAATGTCTAATATTCCATTATATATATATTACCACTGTTTTTTGTTTTTTAATATATTTTATTTATTTTTTACAAAGAGGAAGGGAGAGGGATAGAGAGTGAGAAACATCAATGAGAGAGGAACATTGATCAGCCGCCTCCTGCACACAGCCCACTGGTATGTGCCCGCAACCAAGGTACATGCCCTTGACCGGAACCGAACCCGGGACCCTTAGGTCCGCAGGCCGACACTCCATCCACTGAGCCAAACCGGTCAGGGCTACCACTGTTTTTTTATCCACTCGTCTACCTAGGTTGCTTCCATATCTTTGCTACTGTAAATAATGCAATGAGCATAGGGGTGCATATATTCTTTTGAATTAGTGTTTTTGGTTTCTTCGGATATATACCCAGAAGTAGAATTGCTGGATCATAAGGCAGTTCCATTTTTTAATTTTTAGAGGAACCTCTCTAGTGTTTTCCATAGTGCCTGCATCAATTTGCATGAATATTAAATTCTTATATGTTGAAATTTGTGTTCAAGCAAACTTTAATATAGGGGAATTTTGGCTCCTCTGATACTAAAATCAGTGAGGTCAGCAGCAGATGTCCCTGATGGACACAGCTCTGGAACATAGAGCCCCTGAAGGATGTGATGGGTAGGGTGGGATGAGGAGGAGAAACACTATGTGCTAGAAGAGATGATCCACCAAGGCAGGGATCTTTCTCTGACTTATTCACTACTGTATCGCAAGCACCCAGAACAGTGCCTGACACATAGCAAGCACACGTAGATATCTGTTCAATGAGTAATCTAATATACCAGGATGAAGTAAATTCTTACACATCACAAAATCCAGGAAAAATGTTCAAGATTCCAAAAATTCTTTCCTGAATAGAGTAAATTAGCTTTAGATTTTTGAGTGGGTAAGAAGTTACATATCTAAGTAGCATCTCCAAACCAATTATGAGCTAAATTTTAAAAAATCTTGTTTTGATCAGTTGTTTTAAATCAACACAGCTTAAAGAACAATAAAAACATGAAATATAGTTGGAGCAATATATAAAATAAACATTTGGAAGAAAAGAGAAAATTACTCACTGCTACAGACTTAACAGCTTTGATAAGCTTTTTACTTTCCAAATTCTTTAAAATTTTGTTAATTTCTGTTAATGGCAAATTACTTTTATACCGGATGTCTCTGCTCCATATTCCTATAAGAAAGTAAAGTAAAATAAGTTGAAAACTATAGGATTTATGTTTATAATCCCATTGCTTATATCTCATACCAAAACCAGCAAAATAGGTATCTATATATTGCTAGGGCATAGCTATAGGAAAAATTAAGTGTCATAGAGGCAAGAATCTCACATAAAGTAACAAAAATATTAAAACAATATATGTTATATGTTCTAGTTTCTATAGAAATTTCGTAGAATCCTAGCGTGAACCAAAAGTAGGTTTACAGTTGTTCATATGGAAAATAATACAATAATTAATAAACAATACAAGAATACACCGTTTCGCATACCCACAATTGTAAACCGACTTCCTCTCCCCTCCCAACGCCCCCGTATGGAAGTATATTATTTTCCTCTCCTTTTTACATAAGTAGCAGCACAGACACTGATCCATTCCCCGGGAAGATAGAATCTCAGTCCCTATATTTGGTCCAAAGTCAATGTTTTTTCTGCTTCTTCCTTCACATGCTTACCTTTATTTCCTGCATCCTCTATGATCTGATATACTAGTTTTTCTTGGTTATCTGATCCCTTCATTTTACTGCAGGGGAATAAAGTAGAATTAAAAAGGCAAAGAGGTACAGGATAATCTAATAATCTACATGACTACTTCAATGAATTAGCAGACAAGGCCATCACATTGACTTATTTACCAAAATAAAGACTTACCTTAAAAAGAATGAGACAGGGCTGTATGTACCATAATGAAAAGATGTCCAAGACAGAGTAAGTGAAAAAAACAAGTTGCAAGACAGTATGAATAGAATGATCCCATTTTTGTTAAAAAAAGAAAAAAAGAGAGATTATATATAAATATATAATCATCTATATGTATTTATATATCTAGAAGAAAAAATATTTACCAAATTATTATAAGCAGTTATTTCCGGGAAATGGAACTCACGATAGGAGGCAGGGATGATATGTAAGAGGTTTACATTATGCAATTCTGTATTGGCTTTCTTCCAAAAACATGTATTACTATGGTAATAATCAAAGTTTTCTTAAAATGATATGATTATGTGCTTACCCAGCATTCTGAGAATCCTTTATTCTATACAGAAGGCCTGTATTGCTCCTTAAGAGATCCAACTGACCCTAAAATTTTTAAAGATAGGAAATAGCAGTGAATTACTTTGGAGATACATCAAATCTAATGACAAATGCTAATGCATTCTTTAATATTTTGCACAGACTAAATGTCCTACCTCCCATAGTTATTTGTCAGTTCTTAACTTGAGATTTAAGTTTTCCCCTATCACATACAGTGCATTTTTTAAAATTTAGCTCTTTATCTCATCATTTTCTAAAATATTAATATCTAACAATTACTTATATGCTAGATCCTGGCTTGGTTATATAATCAATGTATAAAGAATTATAAACAAGCATCTTTAGAACATTTTAACAGAAAGTTCACTTGTCCTCAATAAATTGTGATTCAAACTAAAACAAATTCAATAAATATAAATAAGTATAATACAAATAAAATATAATTTACATAATATAAAGTTCAAATAGAAACTAACATGTAAAAACATTTTTTAACACGATGATTAAACTTTACAAAGTTAATAGTGACATTTACTGATATGTGTGATTTCTATTTGTGTTACATGAAAATTAGGCAGAAGAGTTAACCAATGAATAAAAGACCTGCAGTTTTGTTTTTCTGTAACACGTCAAAAGTAAAATAAAGCATGTCTTAACATACTTCTAAATTTCCTTGGGTCTGAACCAGGGGTGGGCAAACTTTTTGACTCGAGGGCCACAATGGGTTCTTAAACTGGACCGGAGGGCCGGAACAAAAGCATGGATGGAGTGTTTGTGTGAACTAATATAAATTCAAAGTAAACATCATTACATAAAAGGGTACGGTCTTTTTTTTTTTTTAGTTTTATTCATTTCAAACGGGCCGGATCCGGCCCGCGGGCCGTAGTTAGCCCACGGCTGGTCTGAACTTCGGAGCACCCGGATGGCTGTACCACTGGGCTTCTGGCAGTTCGGGGAAGACGTGGCTAAGAGAGGCCCCATTCCCATGTTAAGACTGGGCAGACCCATGATTTGGAAATGGGTTTACATATGGCTGAAGAGTAATACCCTCCCTCCCCAGACCCCACTAAGTAGCAAAACTGAACCACAAAGCTCAATTTAAAGGTTCCATTCAGTCATTTAACTCAATCTATGAACATTTAATGAACCAGTACTATGATTGTTGTTTGTGGGTACGAACATGAATTCTAAAAGCGAATCATACACCTAACTTCACTACCATCTGGTTGGCGTTAAGATAGAGGTAAGTAATGGGTGGGATGGGCTCTCAGAGAAGAAGCTATGGCCCAATGTGGGATTCAGGGAGGCTTCCTGGAGACAACAGCAGAGCTGAGTCTTAGAGGATAATGAGGGGTTAGTCTGTGAAGAAAGGGAAGAAGGGCTTTCTAAGCAGGGAAGACAGCATGAGCAAAGGACCTGAGACATGCAACAGCATGATGTGGTTCCTCTGAAACCTAACTTTTGAGACACACGATGGCAAAAGAGGAGATAGGTAAGGGAGGCAGAGACTCACTGTGGTCAACCCATGAGTTTTGACTTAAATTTCTCGCACTGGAAGAAGTATTTCTGGTGGGGAAGTGACTTGGTCAGATCTATATTTAAGACACATCAGACTGTGCTCTGAGGCAGATGGAGCCAGGAGAGCCAGTTAGGATGCACTGTAATAGTCCAGGTAAAAGCCAAGAGCCAGAGCACATGCAGGGATAGTAGGAATGGAAATGGGGGGACAAATTTGATATTTATTTAAGAGGCAAAATCAGTAATAACTTGTGATTTATTGATAATTACTACTGCTTAAAATTCTTCAATAGCTGCACCACTGCCTACAGCCTATAGCCAACAGGACTGGCAGTAGGTGGGGTCAGTCGCAGAGATAGTGAAAGAGAAGGAGGTACTGAGGATGACTTTCAGACAGAAAGGAAAGGGTTGAAAGAGTGGTCAAAGGACAAAAACATTTTCTATTGCCACAACCTCCCAGCATCCCTTCCTCTATTTTTCCTGGAGCTGAAGACCTTCATCATAATTAAATGACTAGAAATCATCAAGAGTCCTTTTTTTCCTGGTGCTAAAACAAGGGTCAGCAATCTGGCTCACTGCTTGTTTTTATAAATAAAGTTTTATTGGGACACAGCCACGCCCATTTGTTTATGTGTGGACCATAGCTACTTTCTTGAAGAGTTATCTATTATAACAGAAACCAAATGGCCTGCAAAGCCTAAAACATATACTATCTGGCCCTTTATACAAAAAGTTTGCCAAACCCTGAACTAGTAGGTTGAAGGGAACATTTTTTTTAAAATATATTTTTATTGATTTTTTACAGAGAGGAAGGGAGAGGTATAGGAGTTAGAAACATCAATGAGAGAGAAACATTGATCAGCTGCCTCCTACACACCCCCCAATGGGGATGTGCCTGCAACCAAGGTACATGCCCTTGACCGGAATCGAACCCGGGACCCTTTAGTCCGCAGGCCGACACTCTATTCACTGAGCCAACCCAGTTAGGGCTGAAGGGAACATTTTAACAGAAAGTTTACTTGTCCTCAAACCTCCATATCCAGAGCCCTTAGAAATCCAATAGCCGTAACCGGTTTGGCTCAGTGGATAGAGCGTCAGCCTGCAGACTGAAAGGTCCCAGGTTCGATTCCGGTCAAGGGCATGTACCTTGGTTGCAGGCACATCCCCAGTAGGGGGTGTGCAGGAGGCAGCTGATCTATGTTTCTCTCTCATCGATGTTTCTAACTCTCTATCTCTCTCCCTTCCTCTCTGTAAAATCAATACAATATATTTAAAAAAAAAAAAAAAAGAAAGAAATCCAACAAAGCTGGTAGATTTAAAAAAGCAAATCAGCCTTAGCCCTGGCCAGGTAGCTCAGTTCGTTAGAGTGTCGTCCTGATAAACCACATACGTACAAGAAACAACCAATGAATGCATCAGTAAGTGGAACAACAAATTGATGTTTCTCTCTCTCTCTCTTTCTCCCTTCCTCCCTCTAAAAAAAAATCAGTAATAATAATTAAAAAAAAAGCAAACCAGCCTTCAGATGATTACTTAGTATAGAAATATTTTACCTAATTGCTATTAAGACCAACTGAAATGCTCTCAGGACATGGGAATTTTGATGATAGGGGAAAGGAAGGAGAAACAGGTAGATTTAGAACATGGGGTACCACTAGGACAGTAGAGAATGACATTAGGGCTCCAGTAAATTAGAAAAGGTAAGAATAGGTAGAAGGGCTTCACTGAAAAAAAACACCACTGCTGTCATTGGGAGCTGAGGCTGCACTTCCTCCCAGGGGCCCAGCACTGGTGACATTTAACTGGACTCATTCCTGCCTCTTGAAATGCTCAGGGTGAGGTTGTGGAGAGTGATACCTAATGAGTTGGCTCTGTGATGATTCACAGAAAAATCAGGGGGATGTGTTTCATAGGGAATGGCCTACCACCCAGAAGTAGAACAGCAAACAGAAGGTCAGAAGAAACTATGCCTATGCGCCTTTATGTATCTTAATGGCAATTAGGTTAACAAATAAAGCAGTCTGAGCTGTTTCCTGGTTTAGAATCTTATCAGTCACAACCTAACACACCTTCCAATGTGTTTTTTTTTTTTAAATAACAGTGCTTTTATTTTTTAAATTTATTGATTTCAGAGAGGAAGGGAGAGAAAGAGAGATAGAAATATCAATGATGTGGGAGACTCATCCACTGGCTGCCTCCTGCATGCCCCACACTGGAGATTGAGCCCACAACCCGGACATGTGCCCCGACTGGGAATCCAACTGTGACCTCTGGTTCACAGGTTGATGCTCAACTACTGAGCCATACCGGCCAGGCTCTTCCAATGTTTTTATGACTAATAATAGGAAGCAATGACAATGTTAACTTAAAAATGTAATTACATTAACTAGTTGGATTCACCTTACCATAGACAAGAGTCTATTGATTGCCACTGCCCGCTGCTGAGCTTCTATATGAGGCATTTCATTTTGAATTACTTGGTCTGTGATTCCATGAGGGAACTGGTGACATAATTCTATAATCCTAGGAACAAAGGCATTAATGATATCATTTTTATTTTTAGTGTGTGTGGGGGGGAACTAGCAGAAAAAATTGAAATTGTGGTGTCTTCACATTTAGCAGACAGTCTGGGTTTCTATGATAGTTCTGAATCAAAGCTTTCAAAATACATGTTTCCATTATTATTTAAAGAAAACTTTTTTTCTCACTAATATGAATTCTAAACTAGAACAAAAGTCAAATGAAAACACAGAAAAAAATATCAGTGCTGCAACTTCAATGTTCTCAGATGCAAGTACACAAAGTTAGGATACAGTGTATTGGGCAGCCATAAGTCTGCAAGCAGGACGCAAATCAGGTATTTCTGGTGGGAAGTCAACATTTATGACAATTCACCACAACTGGGGCGTTTTGGGAATTATCCCTACCCAACAGAAATAAGCCCAAATATTCACACTGTCATGGGATCCTCGTATGTTATTCATAATAGCTTGAAAAAATTGTGTTCTTTAAAAACCATGTGGCAATCTAACAATAGTAGTGCGCTGCTAGGGAATTACAAAATTGAGAGGCTTTAGGTGCCCCACAATAATCTTGACTTAAATTCTGCACCGAAACCACTTGTGGTTTAATGTAGCTTTGTAATCACAAACTGCACCCTAATTTCGCCCAAACGTCAAGTCGTGGGAGTTCCCACAGCGACAAGAGCCACTTTGGATCAGAACATGCATCCTAAAGCCCTTTCAGCGGTTCTCAACCTGTGGGTCGCGACCCCTTTGGCGGTCGAAGGACCCTTTCACAGGGGTCACCTAAGTCCATCCTGCATATTAGATATTTACATTACGATTCATAACAGTAGCAACATTACAGTTACGAAGTAGCAACGAAAATAATTTTATGGTTGGGTCACAACATGAGGAATTGTATTTAAAGGGCCAGAAGGTTGAGAACCACTGCAGGTAAAAACGCCATCTCCTTTCTGAGCGTCGATCACTTTCACACAGGGAGGTAGTGCATCATCACAACTTCCCCAACAGCATCGGGACAGCTACACAAAGTTGCAAACTGTCGAACTCCTTTGGAATTTTTTAAGAGTTTTGTTCTCCGGGGGTGGGAAGGGGATCCAAACCCGGCAATCCCCTCCCTGCGTGCTCACTGAACTTGTCCGGTATCTCCCGACGGTCCACGGAGAAAGGGTCCGGCTGCCCAAATGACCCGCCGGGGACCGAGCCTCACCCACTGACTTACCTGTTTTCTATTTCTACTGGATCCGCGTCGGGCGGCTGCAGCTTCACCTTCACCTCAGCCATGAGGACGCGGTTCCTACACCAGCGGGGTGAGAAGCGCGTAGCTACCTGGCAACCAGCGGTGCCCGGGCGATGGGCCTTCTTCCTCGTGTCGCAGCCGGTCCTTCCTTGTCTGTCGGCTTGAGGTGACCACGCCGCGCCTGCTCCGCCTCACTCACGGGCGCCGCTACATCCTCTTATTCTTTTTTTTTTTAACCATTTTCCCCCTACATCCTCTAATTCTTGCTTCCAGAATGTCAATGCCCGTCGGGCGAATGAGCTTCCTTTCCTCATTCTGCGTTGAGACACCACTTTTTAGCATTTTCCAACCTCTGAGAAGGCGTGTTCTCGGACGCCTACGGTTCCTGCGGGTACCACTCTCCCAGTCAAACGTCACGGGTGGAGCTGGTTGCTAGGAAGCCATTTTTCCGCCAATCGCCTGCTCGGTTCTCAGTAGGCGGGGCGAGGCTCGCAGCGTCAGTGGTAACCGAGACCTTGACCAAGGAGAAGGCAGGAGGCAGTGAGAGGTGGGCTAGCTCGGTGCGGACGGCGGAGGTACCCCCGCAGTGAGAGGTGGAGCGCCCGGCCGGGGACGGCGGAGGTACCTCGGAGGGGCTAATTCTGTCTTGGTGGCCGCGGATAGAGGAAGAGGTGGAGGAGGAGGAGGACAAGGAGGTGGGGGAGGACCTCCCTCAATCCTGCGGAGAAGAGGAGGACCTCCCTCAATCCTGCGGAGAGGAGGAGGAGGACCTCCCTCAATCCTGCGGTAAGGAAGAGAGAGTCTCTGACGGCCCCCGATGGGCGGGGGCCGGGACCAGTCGGGGTTCCAGATCTGAGCGGCGGAGAGTGGGTGGATGGAGGTGGGGGTTTAGGGTGCTGTTTTCCCCACAATGCCATTTGGGCCTGTTGGATTTGGTCTACTTCTCGACCCCTTTCTTGGAGCCCACTCGCCGCCCCGACCTTCCAAAGGCAGCTCCTAGTTACTGCGAGCGAATTACTCCCTCCACAACTATTTTTATTTTGAAGTAATTTTTCAAGTATTTTTATTTTCTATTTTTCTTTATATGTTTTTATTGATTTTTAAAGAGAGAGGGAGAGAGATAGGAAGAAATGGATGACGACAGAGAAACATCGATCAGCTGCCTCCTGCACGCCCCCTACTGGGGATAGAGCGCGCAACCAGGGCATATGCCCTAACCAGGAATCCATCAGGTGACGCTCAACCACTGAGCCACACCAGCAGGGCTCAACTATTTTTATTTTAACTGCCTCTCACATAAATGGAAATGTGAGTTTGAGCAAGTGTCCCAAGGCCAGCCATCCTTTCCGAGGGGCTAGTGATCTGTCAGTATTTGCAGTTCAAATTCTTGACCTCTATCCTGGAACTATGGTAACCAGGCATTAAGTCCACTCCTCCCTTTGTTTATCTCATTTTTGGGAATACTGTCTGTGACAAAACTAAAACCTCGAGATATTCAGAGTAGCATTACTTAGAATTGCAACCACCAAAACTAGTAATATCCTTAAAACCCACCCACAAATTGATAAATAAGATTATATAAATATGTGGAAAATTGTAAATAATAGAGTGATGGTGCAATAAGTAAACAATAAAAATGGAATGAATATGTTGAGTGAAATCTATCCATAATCATTGGAATTTGAATAGGGTGAAGAGTGATGGGAAATGGTTGCTATATTAAGGTGGGGGTTGTTTTTTCCTCCTGAATCCTTCGCATATTAAAAATTATGACACTGCCCAGGGAAAAGGTCAGTAAGGCCTCCACACTCATACTTAATTATTTATAAATATAGTAGATGGAGTGGGAGACTTTTGTATTTGTTGCTTACTTTTTATATTGGTGCCATCTTTCTTTCAGCTGAGGTTTGATACTCTGTCATCCTTCTAAAGTTTCTTTGCAGCTTTCAAATGCAAGAATTACTTGGTGACAACTGCAGGGCCTGGAACCTGGAGCTTTCCCAAAAGAGCTGGCTCTAAATTAACATTTCATGCTGCATGTAAAGTTACTTCTGTTTCTCTGGCATGATGACTTGCCCTGAAGCCAAGAGAGGTAGCACAGGAATAAAAGGCAGGAAAGGCTGATAATGATTCAGAGGAAGCTCAGACCAGATTATTAGTCATGGTCTCTGTTCTGATGCGTTCATTTAATTCGCTCATCTATATATATAAAAGCCTAAGCGACTGGCCGACTGGCTGACCGGCAGACCTGCTGGTAGCTATGATGTGCACTGACCACCAGGGGGCAGACACTCAACACAGGAGCTGCCGAGCAACAGCAACTTTGCAAAGTGCCCTCTCGCACTCTGCGACCCTCTTGGGGGATGTCAAACTGCCAGTTTCGACCTGATCCCCACAGGCCAGGCTGAGTGACCCCACCAGTGCACGAATTCATCACCAGGCCTCTAGTTTAAAATAATTCCCTTTGCCCAGCTGGTGTGGCTCAGTGGTTGCACATCGACTTATGAACCAGGAGGTCACAGTTCGATTCCTGGTCAGGGCACATGCCCGGGTTGCAGGCTCGATCCCCAGTGCGGAGTGTGCCAATCAATGATTCTCTCTCATCATTGAGGTCTCTATCTCTCTCCCTCTCTCTTCCTCTCTGAAATCAATTTAAAAATATATTTAAAAAAGTAATTCCTTTCCAACATCTCATTCAGTCATGCTCTTTTCCCAGGAGTAAGGTAATAATTTACTTACCTGATAATCAAAACTCCACAGAAGACCTCAATAGCAAAAATACAGCTGAAGCAATAATTATTTCAAATAAAAGTTGAATAATATTTTTAGATGATATAGTAATAGTATTCTCTTTAGTTTTTACAGCTTTACTGTATTTTAATGAGGTACTTCTCTTCAGTATGTGTGTTCAAATATATGTGGCCATTGGAATTTATTTTCATCTACTTTTTTAAAAATGTAAGCAGGGAAAATGACTGCTGGTTCAGTGTGTGTTCCTCAGATCATACCACTGCGAGTGCCTCAGCCTGGAAAAGCCAACCATGAAATTGATAACAATACACTTGTGGAAATGAAATCAGGTAAAAATAAAACATACTTGAAATGCTTTAAAATAACATGGTCATACTCTTTATGTTCATCTGGTTGTTGCTTTTCTTCTTTGTATGTTTTCTATAACCAGGACCTTGAGAAGTTTATTAAACTTCCAAAATTTGCAATACTTATACTTGATGGTTTATAGAGTGGTGTATATTTAGATTGAAACGGTTAGCTTTGACTACCCTTTCATTTGTATAGGTACTTAATTGCAGCAATGCCTTGACTCACTTTGGCCAAGGTAAGATGTCCCAGTGCTTCCCCAAATGTTCCCAGGATGCTCATTATTTTGCTGGGATAATAAATTTGATATACTAACACAGGCTCTCCACTCATGTTGGAGCTTGAATCCTGGCTTTGACAGCCTCTAGTAATTTTTGGTATATTAATTAGCCTTTCTGAGTCTCAGTTTCCTCATTATAAGATAGTGATAATAATATCTACTATTTAGAGCCATTGTGAGGATAAAATGAGTTGATGTGAGGTATTCAGGGTCTGGCATGTAATAATGCCAAAATAAATCTTAGCTGTTATTACAAAAATAAAATCAGCTATTATTACAAAAAATATTTTGTAATTATTATTATAAAAATAAATCTTGCCGAAACCGGTTTGGCTCAGTGGATAGAGCGTCGGCCTGCGGACTGAAAGGTCCCAGGTTCGATTCCGGTCAAGGGCATGTACCTGGGTTGCGGGCACATCCCCAGTGGGAGATGTGCAGGAGGCAGCTGATCGATGTTTCTCTCTCATCGATGTTTCTAACTCTCTATCTCTCTCCCTTCCTCTCTGTAAAAAATCAATAAAATATATTTAAAATAAATAAATAAATAAATAAATAAATAAATAAATCTTAGCTACAAAAAAATACTTCCTACTAATTCCAGAAGTGAGTATATGTATATATACACATATATACAGACATACATATTTACATATACATATGTATACTATAAGGAAGAGGGAAAGTTTTATAGATAAAGCATATGAACAAATACTTGTTTAAAACAGACTGAGATTCCAATGTACTTTATTAAGTGATATGTGTAAAAATTATTTCTGTTTTTATGTTATGACCCTGTGCTTCCTAGACCAAGAGTTCCAATTAAGAATATATTACATTATACTGTCTCCCTTTATCTTAAAAGCTAATATTATTTTTTAAATTTTCAAAGCAAAATACAAATTTTAATATATGTGTCCATGACTCATAGAAATTGAATGTTTATTGACAAATGACGATATGAATAATAGGGTATCCAAATTCTCTAACGTTAAAAATGTCTCAAAAATAAAAGGTTCTGTAATTCAGTAACAAAAAGAATAATAATAACCCAATAAAAAATGAACAAGGATGTGAAAGGACATTCTATAGGAAAGGAAATTTAAGTGTCTCATGTGAGAATATGCTTCTACCTACCCCTTCACCTGCTTGCTGAGCAGACCTTATCCCCTGCTTTATTACTCCGTTGCATCTAATTACCATTGAACAGATTGTATATCATTTTTGTTTGTTTACTGTCTGTGTGTCCTTCCTAAAATGGAAGCTCCATGAGAGCAGGGACTTTGGTCACTGGGGTATCCTCAAGTGTCTAGAACAGTGTCTGCTACATAATAGGTACTTGGTAAATATTGGTTGAAGGAACGAATGAATCTTACTCAAAATGTAAGAAATGTGAATTAAAACAACAAGATACTTTTTTATTTTTACCTAACAGATTGGTAAAAATAAAATAATTGATAGCACACGATATGGGTGTGTGGGTAAGCAGGCACTTTCATGAATTGCTGGTAGCAGTGCAAGTTGTTTCAGCTTCCATGGGGGAAAGTTTGGCAATATTCACCAAAATTACAAATGCACATACCTTTTGACTCAACAGTGCTAGTTCTACATGTTTTACAAATATACTTATAAAAAGAAGAGTTTTCAAGGTTATTAATTACAGTGTTTGTAATGGTAAAAGAAAGAAAAAGAAAACATTCAGATGTCCATCTGTAGGGGGTTGGTTAAATTGTGGTTCATCTTTATAAAGAGA